CATGATGTCCACACGCCCCCAGCCATCACACCTTCTTGGACGCCCACGACTCACTCACACCCCGTGCGCAGACTCGAGAGAGATCTGCGTGCGAGTTGGGAAGCAAATCCCTGCGGGCACGGCCAGGTGCCTGTTGAGCCCGACTAGGGGCCCACCAAGCCGGAATCGGCCATGCCAAGCCCAGAATTACGCTGGACGACGCGGAATCGCGCCAGCCTGCGCGGGACTTGGCCAGATCAAGACGGCTTGCGACCACGGATATACCAGCGCCGATGCTGAATCTAAGCTCTCAGGAGTTGCAACAAAGCTCGGGAAGTCGAGGTCACAAGACAAGGCCGACCGAAAGCCCACCGAACCGACCGCCAAACCAAAACCGACTTAGACCGAACCTGCCGGAAGCGGCCAGGAAGGGCGCAGCAACGGCAACGGCGCAACAGCCGACCGACCCAAGCCAACCAAACGCAGCCGACTGTAACGAAGCCAGACCAACCGAAGCAGGGACATCCTCCTCCTCCTCTTCCTCCTCCTACTCCTCCTACTCCTCCGCCTCTGCCTCCGCGTCCTCCTCCTCCTCCTCCTCCTCGTCCTCCTCCTCCTCCTCCTCCTCAACATCATCATCATCATCATCATCATCATCATCATCATCATCATCATCATCATCAGCATCAGCATCAGCATCAGCATCATCATCACCACCACCACCATGATCATCATCACCATCATCATTATCATCATCATCGGCATCATCAGCAGCATCAGCAGCAGCATCATCATCACAATCACCATCACCATCACCATCACCATCATCATCATCATCATCATCATCACCACCATCACCATCACCATCACCATCACCATCACCATCACCATCACCACCATCATCAGCATCATCATCAACATCATCATCATCATCATCATCATCATCATCATTATCATCACCATCATCATCAACTCACCACCAGCACCACCACCATCATCATCATCAACATCATCAGCATCATCATCATCATCAACATCATCATCATCAATATCATCACCATCATCATCATCTCACCACCACCACCACCACCATCATCATCAGCAGCAGCATCATCATCACCATCATCGTCATCACCGTCAGCAACATCATCCTCAGCATCATCCTGATCCTCATCATCATTACCATCATGATCAGCATCATATTAATCATCATCAGCAGCATCTTCATCAGCATCATCATAATTGTCATCAGCAGCAGCGACATCGTCATCAGCATCAGCATCGTCATGATCAATATGATCATAAACATAATCAGCATCATCACCACCATCATCGGCATCATCAGCATCATCATCGTCGTCATCATCATCAGCAGCTTCAACATCATCAGCAGCTGTATTGACAGTATCATCACCTGCATCAGCAGCATCTTATCGTCATCATGAACATCATCCTCATCATCATCATCAGCATCACCATCAGCAGCATCAACATCAGTAGCGTCATCGTCATGGTCAGCATCAGCATCACAATTACCATAATCAGCATCATCATCATCATCATCAGCAGCATCATCGACAGCAGCACAAGCAGCACCAGCAACAACAGCATCATCCATCAACATCATCGTCAGCAGCAGCACCCACAGCATCATCACCGCCATCATCACCATCATCATCATCATCATCATCATCAGCATCAGCATCAGCATCAGCATCATCATCATCATCATCACCATCACCACCACCATCATCATCATCATCATCATCATCATCATCATCATCATCATCGTCATCAACATCAGCATAAGCATCAGCGTCAGCAGCGGCATCCTCGTCAGCATCGTCATCATCATCATCATCATCAGCAGCAGCATCAGCATCGTCGTCATCGTAATCGTCATCGGCATCATCATCGGCATCGGCATCATCATCATCACCATCAGCAGCAGCAGCATCACAACAATCATCATAGCCATCATCATCAACAGCATAATCATACTCAGTTGCAGTATCGTTGTCACCATCATCATCGCCATTATCAACATGATCAGCAGCAATTGCATGTTCATCAGCATCATTATCATCACCATCATCAGAGTCAGCATCATAATCATCACCATCATCCGCGTCATCGTTAGAACCATCACCATTACCAACAACAACATCATCAGTATCACTATCGTCATCAGCAGCAGCAGCGACAGCATCATCGTATTATTCACCTTCATCATCATCAGCAGCAGCGTCGTCATCATCATACGCATCATCAGCATCATTGTCACCATCATCCTCATCATCAAAACCATCATCCTCATCATCATCCTCATCAGCATCATCATCATCATCATCATCATCATCAACATCATCATCATCATCATCATCATCATCATCATCATCATCATCATCATCAGCATCATCATCATCATCCTACTCGTCCAGTTCCACCCCCGCGCTCCTACTCCCCTCATCCTCCTGCTCCTCCTCCTCCACGTTCTCCTCCTCCTCTACCTCCACCTCCACCTCCACCTCCTCCTCCTCCTCTCCCTCCCCCTCTTCGTCGTATTGCTTCACATCCACCACATCCTCGTCCACATCCACCCTATCGACGTCCACCTACTCATCTCGTCCTCTGGACCTCACCCTCCTCCGCCTCCGCCTCCGCCTCCACCTGCACCATCCTCATATGCTCCTCATCACCCCTCCCAATCGCGCACGACAGGAAGCAGCGTTACCGCAGCACTACGCCCGCCTAGAGAAGGCATCGGGCACATCCCAGGGTAGTCCAGAATGCCCTCGGTCGTCTGGCAAATCTTGCGCATGATGGACACCGCCTAGTGACAGCGTCGGGGCAGTGGCAGGCTCCCGCATGCCAGACGCACGCCAGAGAGGCTCCGCAGGGACAACCCGCCAGGAGGAACAGAGTGGAGTGATGGTGAGGAATGGGTATAGGAGGGGAAGGGGGCGGGGGCCCTGGGGGAGGAAGAAGCGATGAAGGAGGGGACGGCCACGACGAGGGATGGAGGGAGGGAGGGGAGGGGATGAAGAGTAGAAGCTCATGTGCACGGGCAGTCCCGAAGGCCAGTAGTTTGGCGAGCCCAGTGCGTTGGTGTGCACGGTCTGCGTGCTGACGGCTTGCCCAGGGAAGAATCAGGTGGCAGGATCAGTCAACTCCGAGCCGGGAAACCGAATCGAATCGAAACGTGCGTCGGATCGGGCTGCATCGGCACGGGGCCCATAAACGAATCGGACCGGCCGTGCCAGGATGTGCACCAGCGCCGCGCAAGCATCGGGCCGCATCGGATCGATGGGCCCTCGGAGAATGAATCGGATCGGGCCAGTCGAAAGCCACATCGGATCGGACCGATCAGATCGGGACGATGGACCCCATGCGGCCGCTGGTGCACGGCACGTGTTGCTTACCCATCGGTCGGAAGAAGTGGGTAGAAACATGAGGTAGGAACTCGTTACAAGTGGATTGGGTTTCCGCCCGCCCCCTGAAGAGGAGGGAGGGGGGAAGAGGAAAACCACCCGACTCGTAAAGCAGGAGGGTGCCTCAAGCTGATAGGTGATCTGGGGATCCAAAAACACATCCTTTCGACTAGCAATGGCAGGGAGAGGAGACCTGGCGAACGGATGGGGGGATGGAGCAGGAGGCCGACAAAGAGGAGGGGGCTTGAGAAGACAGGAGGGGCGCGGGGGGAGGAGGGGGGGAGGCGGCGGGGGGGGGAGGGCGGAGGAGTGGCGAGCGAGGATGGCAAGAGAGGGGAGAAGGATTTGCAGGTGTACCCCAGCAGAGGGAGGAGGAGTGAGGACAGCACAATCCACCCCCACCCCCAGCCAGGACCACCACTGGTGCTCGAGGGGGTCCTGGCTGGGAGCGGGGGTGGTTTTTTAGCCCCCAAGAACTCCGAAACAAAAAACACAAAGACAAAAACAGCAAAAAGCATGCCCTCCTGGATCACCAGGTCGGGAGGGGGGGTCATGGCTGGGATTGGGGGTGAAATTTGCTGTCCTCCGGGAGGAGGAGGAGGAGGAGGAGGAGGAGGAGGAGGCGGAGGAGGAGGAGGAGGAGAAGTAGGAGGAGGCGGAAGAGGAGGAGGAGGCCGCAGCGGCGACAGGGAGGAGGGGGGATGGTGGGGAGAGGGGGGGAGGAGGGAAGAGAGGGGAAGACAAAGGGCAAAAGGGACGGAGAGGGAGAGGGAGAGGGAAAGGAACGGAGGAGAAGAGAGGAGGAGAGATAGAACGGGGAGAGGCTCAGGAGAGCGGGAGCGGAAGCTGCGGAGCCACGGGGGCAAAGGTCCCCGACGGTACCCCTGAGAATGCTAGAGGATTCCAGAGGCCTGGGAGGGGCTCGATGTACAGTAGGGGCCAGACCACAAGAAACCTTCCACAAGAAACCCAGCCCTGGAACCCCAGGATGTCCATCGATGTTTGGTGTGGGAACGTCACGCTTTCAACAGCAAAGCCATCGAACTCCAAGAAACCCAAGGCACCCTGGAGACAAGCAGGGTGTTTCTTGGCGTGGGTTTCCACTGTACAGGGCAGTGTTTAATACATGGGATTGTTAAACATATCGGAATTTTAATACATGATTAGTTTACTAATGAACCAATACATAAAATCATCACCGTTATTACTACTAAATCCCTTTATATTTAATACATGATCCGCACGCGGAGCATGTATTTAAAAACGGCAATGCTTGTGTACACCTTCTCGAGCCGTGGGAGGCAGGAGCGTCTGCACACCGACGTCCCTCGCCGCACTCCTCGGCTCCGTGGCCGGCCAAACGGCGCGGTGCATCCGTCGAGGCCCTCCGAAGGCCCATGGAGGCTCAGGAAGGAGGGGCAAAAGTCCTCCTCCTCCTGCTCCTCCTCCTCCTCCTCCTCCTCCTCCTCCTCCTCCTCCTCCTCCTCCCCCTCCTCCTCCTCCTCCTCCTCCTCCTCCTCCTCCTCCTCCTCCTCCTCCTCCTCCTGCTCCTGCCTCGATCCTGATCCTCGAACCTGGAGGTCCTCGGCCTGCGCGGCTCGATGGGAAGGCCCCGCGGCGCAGGGCGGGCCCTGAGCCTCGGAGCTCCTCCCAAGGAGCCGCCTGTCTTGGGGGATCCTTGCCCCCTCGCCGGAGCAAAAGCTGCCTCGGGGACCCTGGAACCGGCGATGGCAGACCGTGCGGTGACCTCGGGACCCCCGAAGACCTTACCGCGCGGGCCGTCACCGCACGCTCTGGGGACCTTTTGGAGGCCCCCACCGCCCGAGAGACGCCCTCGGAGAACGGCCCGAATCCCCGAAAAAGCCTCGCGGCCACCCCGAATCCCCTCTGACGTGGTCGCCGCACGGGCGCGGGGCCCCGACCTGTGCTCTCCACGGCCCAGATAGACCGCGAAGGGCCAGGGGAGCTGCGACACGGCGACACGAAAAGCTCCAGGCGTCCTTGCGCGTCCTGGCCAAAAGTCCGGCGAGAGTGCGGCCGTGGCGCCTCGGGACTGGGCTCCTGGAGGCGCAGAACATTTAAAAAAAGGCCTCGCAGCCGATGCCTTCGAACCTCGATCCTCGACCCTCTCTTCATCCCCACATCCCGTCAAAATCTGTCGCCAGGACTCCCCCATCGGTTTTTCGGAGTGCGTCCGCCCGTGGCGACGAGCACCTCCCCCCACACGCCCAAAGACCTCGAAGCGAAGACACCAGCGCCGTCCTCCAGGCCCGCTCCCAGAGAAGCAAAAGCTGCAGATACCGCGACTCACTTCGCGGGCGCGCAAACATGGATTAGCGATCCCTGGATTTGGCGCGCGGTCGCCAAATCCATGGATCGGGGGAGGCGCCCTCCCGAAAATGCGGCCGGTGCCGCCTCGCTCGGCGGCGGCAATCAGCGATGCCATCTGGAATCGGGACCCGGCTCTAATCCACGCCCCCTTAATCCATGTTTGCGATCGCCTGGCCACTGGACCTCCCCTGGGGCGCGTGCCGACCAGGACCTCGAGCCGAGTCCAGCCGCAGCGACGAGGGACGGGCAGCGCTGTCGGCACCTTCTCCTTCGCACTGGCCCCCGCTTCGGGGCCCGCAGGAGCCGCGTGGTGACGGGCCGCGCGGCGAGCTCGGGACCCCCAACAGCCTCACCGCACGGCCCGTCGCCGCACGGCCTTGGGCCTCGGAGGCCCAAGTCGCCCGAAGCGTCCTCGGAGAGCGGCCCGAGCCCCAGGACCGTGCGGTGACCCCGGATCACCACTGACTCCCCACGCGGCGTGGTTCTGGAGGCAGCCAAGGGGCCCGAGCTGGATGCGCCCTGAGAAAATCCGTCAAGGGGAGGGAGAAAACCAAATCCGCTCATGACCCGTCCCCGAATCACACCCAGGGTCCATCTGCAGCGTTCCACCCAGGATCCGGTTTTGACGGTCCCGGGGCCCGAAAGCGCCCCCCAGAGACCGAGAAGAGTACAAACAAAAAAGCGGCATCAAAAAACGCCTCGAACCCTGAACCCCGAACCTCGCATCCCATGATGATCACCGCACAGTTTGTTGGACCCCAATAGACCTCCTTGATGGGGTCCGAGTATATGGGGTCGGAGGATCGCGCCGCATCGGCGATGCATCGGCAATACATCGCCGATGCATCGGCAATGCATCGCCGACGTCGGCAAGGCATCGGCGCCATCGGCGTGCAGAAAATCGGGCCCCACACCGAGCCGCATCGCCGATGCATTGGCGATGCGGCGCGATCCTCCAACCCCATCTGCTCCGACCCCATCTAGGGAAGCCTAGGCCCCCCCGTCCCCCTGGCGCCTCGAGAGGGTAGCCGCCCGCGGCCGTCTCCCCCGACAGCATGACGCAGTCGCTGCCTGCCCCGGGCTGCGCCGCTCGCCCGGGCGACCACCACCCACCCACAAATTGGGGGAGGATGAGGTGGAGGAGGAGGAGGAGGAAGAGGAGGAGGAGGAGGAGGAGGAGGAGGAGGAGAAAGAGGAGGAGGAGGAGGAGGAGGAGGAGGAGGAGGAGGAGGGGGAGGAGGAGGAAGAGGAGGAGGAGGAGGAGGAGGAGGGGAAATAGGAGGAGGAGGAGGAGGAGGAGAAGGAGGAGGAGGAGGAGAAGGAGGAGGAGGAAGAGGAGGAGTGGCCACAAGGAGGAAGGTCAGGAGCACGAGCCAATGCGCCGAAGGCCCCAGGCTCCGTGATGCTACCCCAGGCGAGGGACAACGCAAGGAGGAGGGCCCAGCAGCAGCAGCAGCAGCAGCAGAAGCAGCAGCAGTGACGACGACGACGACGACGACGACGACGACGACGACGACGACGACGACGACCCATGAACCTGTCCTGGGTTGGACTCTGGGCAGAACTTCGAGCGCGGACCAAGCCGCCTGGGCCGTGGGCCGTGGCGACGAGGGGGCCCCTGGCGGCCAAGAGAAGCGCACAGCCACGAACGGAGACTCTCGATCGAAGACGACGACGACGACGACGACGACGACGACGACGACGACGACGACCCAGGGACGCGTTGACCCTGGCCGGCCGAAGCCGCGTCTCGAACCCCAGCCAGCCGCACAGCAGCTCCCAGGCCCAGGTCAGCGGAGGGGAGGGGAGGGTGCATCGGCTCCACGTGGCTCCCAGACCTGGGTCGGCTCAGGGGGGGGCGGAGCAGCGGGGACTGGCCAGTTCCCGTCAGCGCTGAGCACCATTGCGTGCACAAAATATCGACGGACGACAACGACGCAGGATAATCCGCCCCACTTAGAAGAGAAAAACGGCTGAGTTCTTGGATCGGCGCTGGGCATCCCTCCATGGCGCGCGGAGCGTGCCAGGGGCGGCGCAGGAGGAGGTGCTGCCAGCGGGACCCAGCTCAGATCCAAGAGAGCCGCGCGGACCTCCGGGCTCAAGGGGGGAAACATCTAGCTTGAATCGGCGATACATCGCCGATGGATGGGCGCCATGCACCCGACAGCAAATGCGCGCAATCCTGAGCGGGGTGGACTATCCGGCACCCATCGGCGATCAGTGGGCGATTGGGGGTCGAGGCGCTTGCCCCCGAACCTATGTCCCCCACCAACGTTGCCCCCCTGGCTGTCGGGTCATGACTCAACTCTCTGGTGGCCGTTCGAGACGACGACGGCACCCCTGGAACGCTCTCGACGAGGCGCAGCTGAAGGAAACCACCCCAGGTCTCAAAGACTGTCGAAAGCCCGCGAACACATTCGTCGAAATGTTCGAGAGCTCCCCCGCTGACGTTGCCCCCGATGGGTGCGGCGGTACCCCCTGGAGCCGATCCCCCCCCCAACTGGAGGCATCCTAGATGGGGTCCGAGTAGATGGGGTCGGCAAATTGCACCGGTTCGCCGATGTATCACCGAGCCGATGCATTGGCGATGCATCGTCGATGGCGTCGGCGGTGCGCCTGTGCGGAGAAAATCGGGCTCCGCATCGAGCCGCATCGCCGATGCATCGGCGATGCGATGCGAGCCTCCGACTTCATGCACTCGGACCCCATCTGGGAGAGGAGGAGGAGGAGGAGGAGGAGGAGGAGGAGGTCGGGCATGTCCTCCTATAGGCAGAACTTGGAGGAAAAAAAAAACTCTCAAAACAAAAAAAACGAAAGTTGCCAAAAATAGTCAAAACAAAAAAACATTCCCAGACTATACGTTTACTATGTTTGAATATTTCTCCTGTAGGGGGACACGCCCGACTGAAGCCTAGACAAGCGTTGCCCTGACCGCCCCCCCGCCCCTCCGTCGAGGACCGCGTTGGCCACGTCGCTGGCCTCGGCACGCGTCGGCCTGCCACAGCGAGGAGAGCGGGGCGGAGCCGTGGGGCGGGGGCCGCTGGGAAGGCCAGAGCTGCCAGGCAGGAGCGCTCGGCGTCGAGCTTCGGGAGGTCGGATCGGAGCGGAGCGGGCTGCTTTTCCGAGGCGGAGTCCAGCAGGAGTCCAAGCAGATAGAGCGCCTTGGCTCCAGCGCGGCTTGGCGCCGCCCCGGAGAAACGTCAGTCCAGATGGAGGCCCTCCGGATGGAGCCCCCTGGCTCCAACTGACCTTGCTCCAAGTGGTCTCAGCGCCGCCCGAAAGCCGAACCGGGCCGTAGCTGCATGAAGCGGGACTCGAATCGGATCGGCCGCGCTGGGCTGCACGCCTGCGCGGTGCAAGCGTCGCGGCGCCTCGGATCGCAAGCAGATCGAGAGCGAATCGGATTGAGACGGGTAAACTCGGCGTCGAATCGGATCGATCGATCGAATCGAAATGGGCGGTGCAAGGCGGGGGGAGAAGGAAGAGGAGGAGGAGGACGCTCGAGGATCGCTGCTCCAGAATCGGGGCTTGGAGACGCCATTGGTCGTTGGGCCTATGTTGAGCCTCCGGGAGGCTTCCCGTCGCCACAGCTGGATCCGCCTGCGAATTCTGGTCGGACGCGCCAGAGGACAGGAGGACAGGTCTGGGGACTGGGTGAGGAGGAGCAGCAGAAGTCCAGAAGAAACAGAAAAGATGAAGGTGGAGGAGAATGGACGAGGGGGCAACGGAGGAGAAGCAACAGGAAGAGGAGGAACATGATGAGTGCCGATAGAGATGGGGAGAAACGGGAGGATGGAAAGGGGGAGCAGGGGGACGAACGATAGAGGGGTAGGGTGTGAGCGGGGGCCTCGGCATCCTCCTTCTCCGCCTCCTCATCCGCCTGCTCCTCCTCCTCCTCCTCCTCCTCCTCCTCCTCCTCCTCCTCCTCCTCCTCCTCCTGCATCCCGCCTCCTCCTCTTGCTCCTCCTCCTCCTCCTCCTCCTCCTCCTCCTCCTCCTCCTCCTCTTCTTCCTCATGCTCCTCATCCTCCTCCCGATGTATCAATCTCATCATCCCCTCCTGATCCCTCCTCTTCCTCCGCTTTCCAATCCTGATCATCCCTCTCCCTCCTTCTCATGCTCCCATTCCTCCGCCTCCCCCCTCCTCGGATTATCATAAGGACTTACTCCATCCACTTTCTGCTTCAGCTCTTGCTCCTACTCCACCTTGCGCCCCTTCGTCCGCGCCGTCCACATTCACCTCGTCGTCCTTGTCCTCCTCCTCCTCCTCCTTCTTTCTCCTGCTCCTCCTCCTCCTCCTCCTCCTATTCCTCCTCCTCCTCCTCCTCCTCCACCTCCTCCTCTCCTCCTCCCTCCTCCTCCTCCTCCTCTTCTCCTCCTGCTCCTCACTCCTCCTCCTACTCCTCCTCCTCCTCCTCCTCCTCCTCCTGCTCCCCCTCCTTCTCCTCTTCCTCCTCCTCTCCCTCCTCCTCCTCCTCCTCCTCCTCCTCCTCCTCTGGTGCGTCCCCCTGCGGCTGCTCCTGCTCACCCTCTTCCCGCGCCGCCTGCTACTGACCCCCAACCCCTTCCTTTTTCGCCTCCTCCTCCTCCTCCTCCTCCTCCTCCTCCTCCTGCATCCCGCTCCGCCTCCTCCTCCTCCTCTCCTCCTCCTCCTTCCTCCTCCTCCTCTTCTCATCCTCCTCCTCCCCCTCTCCTCCCCTCCTCCCTCCCTCCTCCTCCTCCGCCTCTCTCCTCCTCCTCCTCCGCCTCTCTCCTCCTCCGAGTCTTTCCTCCTCCTCCACCACCTCCTCCTCCTCCTCTCCTTTCTCCTCCGCCTCCGCTCCTCCTCCGCCTCCGCCTCCGCCTCCTCCTCCGCCTCCTCCTCCGCTTTCCCTTCCTCCTCCTCCTCCTCCTCCTCCTCCTCCTCCTCCACCATCCTGCCTCGTCATCATCCTCCTCCATCCTGCCTCGTCCTCGTCCTCCTGCTGCTGCCCCTTGTTTGCTCCTCCTCATTCCTCCAACCCTCCTCCTCACCCCACCGCGTCTTCCACCCTCACTCCGACCTCCTCCCTCCTGCTCCCTCCCTCTTCATCCTCCCCATTCCCACCCACCCACCCACTCCTCATCGTCCCCCCTCGTTCACCTTCGTTCTTATCAGTCCTCCACCCCACCCCCCACCCCACACATCCCCGAAACCGCCCACCCACCCACCTACCTCGCCCCCCCGCTCGCCATCACCATGCGTGTCCCTACTTTCACCATGATCCTCTCCCCCCCCCCGCCACTCCTCGTCATCCTTCCCCACCTCCCTTCCTCATTCTCCGTCTCCTCCGCCGCCTCCTGATGCGCCTGCCGTGCACCTCCTACGTCCGCCTCAGCACCACCACCATTATCGTCGTCGTCGGCGTCGATAACTCCATCATAATCGTCATCACTAAAATTATTGCAATCATCCCATATCGCCCCCATCGTATCACCATCGTCACAGTATGGATATGTAAAGTACTAGCGTTCGTCATCATCAGCATCATCATCATCCGCATCAGCATCAGCATCAGCAGCAGCGTCAGCAGCATCAGCATCGTCATCATCAGCAGCATCAGCATCAGCATCATCAGTATCAGCAGCAGCATCGTCATCACCATCATCATCTGCATCATCATCAGCATCAGCAGCATCATCATCATCATCATCATCATCATCATCATCATCATCATCATCATCATCATCAGCATCATCATCATCATCATCTCATCATCAGCATCATCATCTCATCATCATCATCATCATCATCAGCATCAGCATCAGCATCCTCACCATCAATCATCATCATCATCATCATCATCATCACATCAACATCATCACCACCACCATCATCATCATCATCATCATCATCAGCATCATCCATCATAATCAGCATCATCATCATCATCATCAACCGCATCATCATCATCATCAGCATCATCATCACCATACATCATCGCATCATCATCAGCATCATAATCAGCATCATCATCATCATCATCATCATCATCATCATCATCCGCATCATCATCATCATCAGCAGCATCAGCATCATCATCATCAGCAGCATCATCATCAGCATCATCATCATCAACAGCAGCATCATCAGCAGCAGCATCATCAGCATCATCATCACCATCATCATCATCAGCAGCAGCAGCATCGTCATTCATTATGATCATCAAAATCTCAACATCATCATCAGCAGCAGTATTAGCATCAGCATCATCATCAGCAGCATCCTAATCAACAACATCGCCATCATTATCATCAGCATTACCAGCATCAGCATCTGCATCATCAGCAGCATCATCATGACCAACATCATCATCAGCATCGTCACCATCGTCATCAGAATCCTCATCGTCAGCAGCAGCAGCATCATCATCGTCATCAGCATCATCTTCATCAGCATCAGCAGCAGCATCATCATCATCAGCATCATCATCATCATCATCATCATCATCATCATCATCATCATCATCATCATCATCATCATCATCATCATCATCATCGTCGCCAACCCCATCATCATCACCATCATCAGCAGCATCATCATCACCACCAGCATCATCATCAGCATCAGCAACATAATCATCAGCATCATCATCATCCGCATCAGCGTCAGCATCATCATCACAATAGCAATAATAGTCATCCTCATCATCAACAGAATCAACATTATCAGCATCATCATCACCATCACCATCATCATCATCATCATCATCGTCAGAATCATCATCGTCATCATCATCATCATCATCATCATCATCATCATCACCCTTGTCGTCCCCGTCGTCACCGTCGACATACTCATCAACACCAGCAGCAGCCTCGTCGACAGCATGACCACCACCGGCAACAACCTCATCAGACTGATCATCTTTAGCGTCCTCGCCATCATCGATTGTCATGGTGATCCTGAATATCCCCATCGCCACCCACCATCCTAATTCGCTGGCCCCCTTGTGGGGCCATCAGACTGCGAGGATCAGGTTTCAGTACCCTGCACCAGTTCCAGTTTCCAGTCTCCAATGTTACAGTCCTGCTTTCTGCTCCCTACTATAAATTGTTGAAGTCCGCGCGAGAGGAGGGAGCCGAAAAGCGTCAAGTTACCTTCCCCGAATCGGGTGCTCTGAATTCCTGCGGGGCCATGGGACACATAAAATTACATGAGATCCGCGCTCCCGACGCAATAATCCCTTGCAAATTACACTGCACTCGCGCCCCCGAGACCACGATCCCTAGGAAGATACACCATATTCGCACCCCCGAGGCCACGATCGCTTGCAAATTAAACTACATTCGCGCCTCCAGGGCCACGATCCCTTGTAAAGTACACCACATTCGCGCTCCCCACGCCACGATCCATTGTAAATTACGCCACGCTCGCTGTCCCCGAGGCCACGATCCCTTGCAAATTGCACCGCACTCGCATCCCCGAAGCCACGATCCCTAATGAAACACACTAGATTCGCGCCCCCGAGGCCACGATCTCCTGCAAATTACACTACATTCGCGCCTCTGGGGCCACGATCCATTGTAGATTACGCCACAGTTGCGCCCCCGAGGCAACAATCCCATGCAAATTACACGATACTCGCATCCCCGAGGCCAATAACCCTCGCAAGTTACGCACTTTGCGCGTCCCCGAGGCAACAAACCTTCGTAAATTATACCAGGTTCGCGTCCCCGATGGTATTAACCCTTGCAAGTTACGCAATTCGTGCGCCCCTGAGGCAACAAATCCTCGCAGATTATCCAAAGTGTGCGACCCCGAGGCAGCAAACCCTCCTAAATTACCCCAAGCTCGCGCCCCAAAAATCATAATCCTCTCCAAATTACACGATATTCGCGTCCCCGAGGCCACAAACCCTCGCAAATTGCTAAATGGTCGCGTCCCCGAAGCCAAAACCCTTCATATAACTTATGCAATAGTTGCGCCCCCGAGGCCACAAACCCATGCAAATTGCTAAATTATTGCGTCCTCGAG